TCACACACTAATCCTCCCTGAACCTAGCTACTCGCTCAAACAGTGTTTGAAATAACAGAGAAGAGACCACGTCCTTCAATACTCACAAAATTAGAAAAGATCCTATGCTACAGAAGTCAGGAGTCCAAGAAAGCACGGGTTTGGGCTAATTGCTTTTGCTGTTCCAGTTGATAATGCCAAATCCTCAAGCCTCAACACTGAAGTTGGAAAAAAAGTTTCTAGTGGCAATCCAAGAACTAAAAGCCAGAGATGCAGCAACACTGCCTAATCCAAATAGCAGCTTGCCAATCTGTGCATTTTATAGTGTTTGTTCTGTATGAAGAAAAAATGATCTTCATTTATGGTCCCCAGACAGAGCATACACTAGAAATAGAACAACAGGAAACGTACCAACACCAGGCAGTAACCAAAAGCAACAGCGCAACAGCTCGGGTAACAAAAAGGTACAGAAAACTAGAATTTAGAGGAAGCTAAAACCTTGGGAACAGAGTTACATGGCACAGTACTTTTTTTGGCCGTGGTATTTCAGAATTCCAGATACGACTAGTGGGCTGTAAATTGTTTAAATTGAGGCAAGAAGAAAATTCCAGCCAGGTACAATTGTAATTAACTTTTTAAAATTGTATTACCCTGATTAAGTACCTACCTCCAAGATTGGGTTTTTGATTTGGTTTGGGTTTTTTTTTTTGCACATCCATACATAATCACACATTTATGTTACCTCTATACTACGTATGTATACTGGAGACAAACATCCACTGGCACCTTGCACTTCCAAATGTATTAAAGAAAGCCTTCGGGATTCAAAGAAACAACTGCATTTGAAAAAGCAGAGGTTTACTGGTAACAGTAGAAATACTTGCACCTTCATCTGCAGAAGTAACATCAAGCTACCAACAAAACTAATAAATGTTATTTATATAAGTATTCTTTTTCAAAGTAAGCCTTGGCAGTTCTGAAAGAAAAAGAATTCTCTACCTCAGTAAAAATGTAGAGATGCTTTTTTTCCCTCTAAATGGAGACAGCACAAAGGACGAAGATGGTTAAAAATGAAAGGTATTTCCAGAAGAGTTTTACGTTTGGGGTTTTTTTAGAACACATAGCTGTTGACTGCAGGTAAACACTGAACAAAGCAGTACCTAGAGAGGAGAGAACTTTTGAATCAAAATACCATCTTCTTCTATTTTAAGTATCACGCCAATGGAAACTAGCTTTTACACAGCTTAAAGGAAAGGGATACTGGTTTAAGCCTGTGCGTGTAAGACCACGTGCTGCTCCTTAAACCCTACATGCAGTCAAGAGCCAGAGGCCCCTGTCAATTCCTCGGAGACCCAAGGGGAAGAACTGCTTCAGCGGTCATGCTGTTCTCCTGCAGGTGGGACCCGGACAAGAGGAGCAGCCGGCCTGGCGGCAGGAGCCTCTGCAGCCTCCCAGGGCCAGACTCGCCCAGAGCGGGGCTTAGCCCCAGCGGGGGAACCTCACATGAACCACTTACGAGATCCAAGGGTTCACCACGGACTCGGGCACAGCTGTTACGAACGGATATTTACAATAGTCCTCACCAGTGACCAGTGGCATGAGAGAACTGTTCTCAGAAGCAAGATTTAACATCCCAGAAAGGTCAAAGAGATCAGGCAATGCTATGCTGGGGAGAACACTCCCTCGCTTTAGAAACTACTAATTACTGAGGGGAAATACTACTTCCGCCGCTTAATGTGAAATGCTTTAGCTAATACGTGATATCCTGATTAGAGGTTGGAAGGAAGATGGATGAAACAACATGCAGAAGTTTCTCAACAATTTTATATCCCAGAGGTTCACTTCTGCCAGCTTTACCGTGCAGCAAAGAATAACCACTGCAGCAAGATTTGACAGCTGACACCTGAAACGACCCTCAGAATCCCTTATAAATATCAAGGTAACAGAAGTGTTGTTCTAGTGCTGCTCTCTTTGGTATGTAGCCAGAGAAAATAAATTTCAGAAATCAGGAATTTCTAAATAGTACATCCACTTCCAGTCAACACCAGCAGTAACTAACAGTTACAAGACGTATTTCCTCTTATAAAATAGTGACCACTAACTACGTGAAGTCACCATGTCTAGAATTAGATCCTGAGACTTAATCTACTTACGCACAAGATCCTACCCTATGGAACAATTAACAAATATTCCTAGATAAGCATTGTGAAAGGAATATTCAACCACTTCCAGATACAACCAAGTGCCCACTCCTTGAAGTGAAATTTTCCAAAAGCTCTGTAGAGCAACACTGCGAGACATTTTAAGACATCTTCTCTCTCTTAACAGCTCTAATTCACTAACTTTAACATATACCAGACTACTTCCTTTCTAAATGAAATGATCTAAATATTCATATAATCATAAAATGGTTTGGGTCAGAAGGGACCTTAAAGATCATCTAGTTCCAACCCCCCTGCCATGGGCAGGGACACCTTCCACTAGACCATATTGCTCAAAGCCCCATCCAGCCTTTTAAAGCCATTACCCCTTGTCCTACCACCACACACCCTTGTAAAAAGTCCCTCTCCAGCTTTCTTGTAGGCCCCCTTCAGGGACTGGAAGGCTGCTGTAAGGTCTCCCCAGAGCCTTCTTTTCTCCAGGCTGAACAACCCCAGCTCTCTCAGCCTGTCTTCACAGGAGAGGTGCTCCAGCCCCCTGATCATCTTAATGGTCCTCCTCCAGACTCACTCCAACTGGTCCATGTCCTTACACTGGGGGCTCCAGAGCTGGACGCAGTGCTCCAGGTGGGGCCTCACCAGAGAGGAGTAGAGGGGCAGAATCACCTCCCCTGACCTGCTGGCCACGCTGCTTTTGATGCGGCCTGGGATACGGTTGGCTTTCTGGGCTGTGAGCGCACATTGCTGGGTCACGTTGAGCTTCTCATCAACCAACACCCTCAAGTCCTTCTCCTCGGGGCTGCTCTCAATCCATTCTCTGCCCAGCCTGTATTTGTGCTTGGGATTGCCCTGACCTGTGAGCGGGACCTTGCACTTGGCCTTGTTGAACTTCATGAGGTTTGCATGGGCCCACCTCTCAAACCTGTTGAGGTCCCTCTGGATGGCATCCCTTCCTTTCAGTGTGTCAACCACACCACAGAGCTTGGTATCGTTGGCAAACTTGCTGAGAGTGTATTTGATCCCACTGTCCACCGACACAGATGTTAAACAGTGCCAGTCCCAATACCGAGCCCTGAGGAATGCCACTCGTCAGTGGTCTCCACCTGGACATCGAGCCATTGACTGCAATTCTTTGAGCGTGACCATCCAGCCAATTCCTTATCCACTGAGCAGGTAATCCGTCAAATCCATGTCTCTCCAATTTAGAGACAAGGATGTTTTGCAGGTCGGTGTCAAATGCTTTGCACAAGTCCAGGTAGATGACATCAGTTGCTCTTCCCTTATGCACCAATGCTGTAACCCCGTCATAGAAGGCCACCAAATTTGTGATAGAAATGGAAGTTTTTGAGGCTCTAGCTATTTTAACTACTACCTTATAAGTATTTTTTGTATGTAAACAGTAATAGTCACTACAAATATACTTACCTGTACTTTACCTGTAGCTATATTACTTTTAGCAGATCAGACCAAGTATAGTTTTAAAATGTTGTTTGTAATGGATTGTTTTGCAGACCAGCACAGCAGCTATTGACACATGAATTAAAATCCCATTCACACCTAGACCTTTCACAAAAGTCAGGCATGTGAAGTGCTGCACCATTTCTTGAGTTCATTTGTTAAAAATGCAATTAAGATGCATCCATTCCTCACTGGAGTCACCAAGGAAAAAGGCAAAAACAATTCCGGAATCTGCTAATACTTTTCAAGGTGCTATGATAACCTCCCACGGACTAGCAGTCAAAATACTTTTAATCTCAGTCTGACCTGTGTTACAGATACATCCTTTCAAGTAGATGTTTCTTTTCTCAAAGTCAGTCAAACACAGGTGTGCAGTGACAATTCCATGTTTAAGCGAAGGTGAAAACCACTTTGGTGGTTTTCATACTTGCTACAGCCACACGGCAGTCTTTCCTTCCAAAGCAATAATTAGAACGGAGTTTCTCTTTCATGATAGGCTGGAGGCTGGCACGTTTGGTGGTGGTGGTGGTTTTGTTTGGTTTTTAGCTGAAGACACCAGAAGTAAATGTTTGCAGCTTTCCTATTGACCGAGAAATTACGATTGCTTGACGTGTGCCCTTTTCAACTTCAACTACACAAATCAAGAGGTACGAGGACAAGCCACTGCTCTATCCTTAGAGGTTAGCAGTAAGAAAAAAAGAAATTGCTAAAAAAAAATCAAGTTAAATTATAATACTGCACTTTCTGCAACTTATGGATAGGTTTGCATTTGTATCATTGTGATTTTTTTTAAATTACAGTAAATAAAAATACTTCAAACAGCCCAATAGTTCAAAATACTGAGTATGTAGTCACTAAAGTGTTTAATACCAATTTGATATTTTACTGAATTTTGAAATTTTTAGCCTAGCATATCCTTGTCATGATCTCAGTGCTAATATTTTGGTTGCTATGCAAGATTCCGCTCAAGTTACATTGACAGAACAGCTATAACTATTTAGCATGAATATCTTAGGAATGGCCAGCAAAATAAAATGTTTTGATTCCTTAACAAACCCTTAAGAACCAGGTCACCAAAACAACTGTTCAACCCATCACATTACATGCTCACCTTAAAATAAGATCTTAAAGACGAGAAATAGAATGGGGTAGTAAAATAAACTTTTCATTCTACTAGTTTTAGGCAGTAACTCTGGTGCCACAGGCAGCATGCTTTTAGAGACACTGATTTGATAGGCTTAATTACCTTATGCTCATGATATGTCAAGGTAACACCTGACTTAGTTTTCACTGCAGGACAAACTCCATTAGGAACACGGACGTTTGTTCTTAATGTTCTGTAGTAAGAGGCAGAGCTTTAGAACCCACACCACACACACGCAAAAACCGCATTCATAAGTTAACCTTGCACTGCAGCAGCTTCTGAATTAGCAGCAACTTCCAAATTAGCAGCAGCTTCCTGCTGTGCTTCCTCCACAGCAGGGGATGCCTCTGGAGCTGGCAAGTCATTCTCCCCTGCAGTCTCTGGGGATACCCCAACACTCTCATCCTGTGCTGCAGGTCCAGCAGCAGCGACTGCATCAGCCTCTTCCGTGGCCGTCTCTGCTTCAGTGACTTCAGCCATCTCTTCTTCATCACCTTTTAAGAATTTATTTAATACAATAGAGAGAGTAAAGCACATGCATGCAGCGCAAAACAACAACTACTTTTTACCATCATCCTCATTTGAATTTAAAGTGGGAAGCTAAGCTTTGGGATCAGAATTTACAAAGTCAAGAAATCAATAATTAACACCCCGCCCAATATTGTCTAACGTGGCACCAAAAAAGGATGTTTACAAGATGAGGAAACCATATTCTTAATTACCGAAGTTTCATAACTGCTTCAGTGTAATACAGAAAGAGACTGTGGCTTAAGCAAGTGACTACAAGAGGTGGGAGTGCAGGGAAGGATAAAAAGGACCCTGCCAAGTGCTGCTTCAAACCCACTCTGCTGAAAGGGCCAGTGATAACGCACTCGTGGGTGTCACAAGGAGCAGGATTCTTGTCCGGTTTGCACCGCAGCAGCGGAGTTACCACACTGGGAATAAGACATTTGCTACCATACCTAGAAGCTCTTACAGAGTTTATTATCCATCAGGGTGGCAGCTTCAAAGCACTGCAACCCAAGGTGCGGCTTCAGTTTGCACAGGGCTCTTCAAGGTGGCTAACTTGGCTGCCAATAGCTACAGTAAAGCCAAGCCCAACAAGCGATTAGTTTTCAGACAGGTTTTGTGCTACCCCTTAGCCCTATGCTGCCACAGGTATTCTGTGCTACTCTGCTATCCCTATTCACCCTGCTTGCTTTAAAGCTATGTTGAATGCACTGTGACCACTGCAAGAGCTGCAGCACTCAAGTAAGAAAGGTGAGATCTGTGTGGTAGAACAGGGGACCCTTACTGAAACTAGCTGTATATAAGTAAGAAAATAATTTGCTAATTGTAAGTGGTCAGACTCACTTTACTGGAGATACGAGCACTTATGACTGACTGTTTTCTTTTTACAAGTCCTAGCTGTCTTTTAAATACTTGTCTACTCTGCTGTGGGTTGGACTCTTTAGAATCTGAAAAACCCAGTGCTTCCCAATCATGCATTACTTCAAACTCAGCTGAGACAAGTAATTAAAAACTAACAGCACAAAGCCACAAAGATGCACAATCAACATGCAAACATGCACCAAGATCAAGTAAACAACAGAAGTTATATACCCAGTGTTCATTGCAAGTTTACTGCTAGAACCAACTCACCATGTGAAAAAGTGGAACTGGAAATAAAGTTTGTAATACAGTGTAAACTAAGTGAGAATAGAAAGGAAAGGGAAGAGCTTAAAGAGACATAGTCAGAATTTATGTTATTCTTTTGTATCTGTTAAAAAACTGAACAGATCAATTTTGATTCCTGTTTTTCTCATGCTAGTGCAAGCCTGTCCTTTTGCATCCAGGTTCAAACATTAGTCTATCCATTGCTCAGTAAAAATCAAAACTTTGTGTTATGCAACCTGATCATGTCCCTTTAAGAGAATGCTATATTTAAAAAAAAAAAACCTAAATTGATTACACAAAGAACAGACTAACAGCCAAGCTTAGCATTCAGTACACTTTATTGGACAGTCAAATATAGAGTGCATTCATTCACAACAGCCAGCTTCTCAGACTCAGAACTGCCTTCTACAAAGCCGATTCAGTAATAAGCTCAATATGGTTTGGCCTTGCAAACATATAATTAGTTCCTTTAAAGTCTCACAAGTATGGAGTTTTACAATAGAAGGTATAAAGTCATCCCAAGGTAGGCTGCAAGGTACGCAATGGTGAACGACTGTCCTTTGTTTGTATTTAACTTCCTCGGGTTTGGAAAGAGATTTCCCTTGTATTTTAGTCTGGAAAGTGTAAAAGCAGAGTATAGATTAGAAAGATTGAATCAGCTTGCATCAAGTTAAAAAGAAAAGTCATTGCTAAAAAAAGAAGGAAATCAGGAACAAGTTTAAAGGAGACACATGCAAATGGAAGACAAAAACTCAGTAGTTGCTAAAATAAGCAAGTAGACTGTTCTGCAAGGAAAACATCATTTTACAGTTCAAATGATGTCCCAGATTTCCTACTGCTACTTCCAGTCAGGCTTCTGCCAGGGGCTTTTTTAAATCCCCCCCTAAATTTGAGAGTAGCTTTCAGTTAAGAAGAGCTACAGAAAATTTGCTATTAGATCTTTTTTTAAGTGTCTGATATTGTTAATCAAAATGCCATGAAATATCATTTCAACCCTCTAATAAACAAACAGGCCTAGAATAGCATTTGATTGTTTCTCTTGTTTTGACAGCCTTGTTTGCTATGTGCAGTTCTTTAGAACGGACATTTTGGGTTTGGGCACATGGAGAGAGTTTTCCTTGGGACGAGAAACCACAAAAGTCATTTGTATCGGGAATCTCCCTCTGATCAGCTGCTCCCTAGTATTAAGTTCTCCCAGCTAGAAAGTTCTTCCCTTACCATAGTGCATGTAGCAAATCTGCCCTGAACATGCTGTTTGGCATGCTGCTTTTCTATCTACCAACTCATATTGTTATCAGTACTGGTATATAGCTTATTTTAAGCTTCATTTTATGTGACCCACCCTAAAAAATATTGATTACTTTGAGAACAGAATTTTTAATCACTCTTAGCAGCAATGCTTACTGTGAAAAAGTGCAAGGACTAACTGAATTTAAAGAATGTGTAGGAAAAGAAGCTGCAGTGGCACTTCTGGGAAAAGCAATACTATGGTAACACTGTGACAGGATACATACAAAAATGACTAGGCAAGGAACAGGAAAAAAAGGGGAGGAAGAGCGCCGTTAATTCTTTCAAGAAAGCACACAGAGGATTCCACAGGAAAAGTAAGAGCAGAAACCTCTTTTAGGAGGATACAGTTAGGAATGAAGAAGGATTTAAAAAAGAGCTGATTCAACAGTAGTTTTGTATTGCGAATTGGAATTAGCTACTCAGAAGTCCAATTAAAAACTCTGGGTTGAGCATTTATTCAGAAGTTCAATATTGACTATAATGTAGGAAATAAGTTTCAGCTGTGTTCACTGTATGGCCTCAGAAATGTTTTGGACTTCTTACTATCAATAGCAAGGAAGGCAGCAATCACCTGCCCTTGGTTGTTAGTTTATGTCAATTCCTAAGCAGCGCCAAGGCATCAGATAATGGGACGTCTGGAGAGCACCCGACGTCAGAATCAGGGAAGTTGCAGAGCACAGAGTACTCTTACCCCAGTCTCAGGCAACGCCGGTATAGCCTTCAGTGGGTCAACAGCACCACTGGCGCTGGGGGTACCCCATCCCGCTCAAACATTTTGGCAGACTAGGGTTAAAATGCAGTACCTTGCAGAAGTGAACCTTAAGAGAGGGAATATACTGACACCATTTTGAGTGCCCTGGAAGGATTGATTAATGCTTTCCCACCTACCATGGTCTTCTGACTATGCTAGCCAGAACGTAACAAGTGTGACCCTCGTTTCTTCCCTGAACAGCAGACGATGAGGTCACTAGGAAAAAATATCTACTTTGGTCCTGGCTAGATTTTTTATTTTAGGGACAAGGAAGGACTGCATTAAAATTGTGGCCGAATTCTCAGCATTTAAAGAATTAAGTTTAAAACCTGTATTGCTTCCAGCTGCTTAAGAGAAAGAAAATTAAGGTGTTTTGCCAGTTTAAATCTTAAAATCTTTAATTTTAAACTTCTAAAACTAAAGCACGTGTTGTGGAACTTCAAGACTAACAACTTCAACAGAAACCAGTTTAGAGGCAGACAATTCAAAGCGTGTTCTCACATTGAAATCAAAATTTAAACTCAGCATACTTTATTCAGATCTATTCTTTGTGTGCATGCAAATGTATTGTCAGTTCTCTAGATGTCAGCATCAGAAAAAATAAGGAACAGCTTCAAGTGCTATGGCTTAATTTATTTATTTTTAAAAATAACTACTAAATAAAAATATAAAGATCCTTAAGAAGTCACTTTTTCTAATTGCTTTGCCTAGCAAGGCCATGCTGGCCAAAGTTCTATCTTTCGTATTAACACCACCATAACACTAATTGATGTAGACAGAGGCAACATTCCATTACAAGTATTTGAACTAACATGGTCTAATTATTTAAGCATGAAGAGCTAAATAAGGATTTGCCATACATTTAGGTGGTGTCTGCTTTTCATTTAATTCTAAATTACAAAGGACAAAAATCAGAGTAGTGGGACAAGAAATGGGTCCAATTTACAAGATTTTTTTAAAAAAACGTAGATCTTTTTTCCTATTGAACTGTGTTCCCTGATGGCACACAGCCTGGAGCCAAACTGTTGACTGAGAATAAGATATTATCTCCTTCCCCCCCAACAAACAAAAGAGCAAAACTGATTTTGACAGCATTATGCATTTAGTCAAGTTTCATTAAGCTTCCAGTAAATCAAATGCAAATACCCGATATACAATTAGTGGTTCGCACATCAACTCTTTCCATCCAAAGAGACTCCTGCAGGTTGATCAGAGGCCAGACTCACGGTCTACAGGTTGATCACAGGCCAGATTCATTGCCTAAACATTAAGTCCACTCCCCAAATTTGTGCAGAATTAGCTTTGTAACAGAACACTGCACAACCACCTTTGTCTTTACTCCCAGTCACAGAGGTCAGACAAGGACTTGGACAGGGTTAAGGCCCGATCAGACAATCTAGAAGTCTGTTCCAGATCCTCATGTACCCGGGGAACAAGAGAAAAAAGCTTAACTCACCCTTGCTTGGCCAAGGTTTGTTTTTCCTCCCCTCAGCTCTCTCATGAAGAATATTCATATGTTCAATATACTTGCTGCGGGATGAACTGACTACTCTGTAGGCCTGAAAGGAAATTATACCCAAACTTATTGCTACGTCCCTACAAAGTTACCAAACAAAAAGAGGAGAGAGGGAAAGAAGGGCTTTTAAGCAAGTGCTACTGCTCATCTGAAAAGGCATATCAAATTATGCTAAGCAACGTTAAAAAAAAATAAAATCTACTTTGCTATACCAACATTTTTATACGTTTCACATTTCTCCATTGTTAGAAAGCAAATACAAGACACCATGCAGCTTTCAAAGTGCTGCAGTGTTTCAGGAATTGAACACAGTGTTTTAAAAGACAATTACAGTCAGGTTATTTAAAAAAAACAAAACAAAACAAACACACACACACACACACACAAAACCAAAAAAAACCCAACCCAAAACAAACCTATGCTAAAAAGGTGACAGCAAGATAATTTGTTATTCCTCCAGATATGCAATCACACAAGTTTGATATTTTGAACAAGTAGAAGCTACTTACCATTCAAGAGGATTATTTTGTGGGAGAGGGAAACACGTACCTCTCTGGGATGTGCTAGTCACTATCTCAAATCTTGGGAGGGGTGGGGGGTGGAAAGAAGCTACAAAATGGAGGCTTTAGGGGCATGAAGCGCAGAGTCTGATACATTTAGATGCAGGGGAGAGAATTATTACCAAAAAGCTTGACAAAAGCAGATGTTTACAAAACTTTAACATGCTTTTTCTAAGTAAATAGCATTCTTATCTTTCTTTGTGCCCCAATTAATGAGGTTCATCATGTTCCCCTTGTGGCTTCAGACAGCTTACTTCACATCTGTCTTGCCCACTTTCCTATATTATTAATGTTTGTGGTTGACAAAAAGAGGCAAAGGGTTAGAGGCAGGTGCCTTACTCCATCTTTGGATACATTCATTTCACATAGTTTTAAGTATGTTTTCCACTAAGAATGATGACAGCACTAGCTATCAAAGTAACAGTAAAACAGGCAGGCAATAGTTGTTCAGCTTCACTAGTTCTCCTGAACTGATTTTTAAGTTAGACTCTATTTAATTACATGCTACAACATCCACATTCTATTGACAGTTTGCGTCTTGACCATATTCTTTAACCCAGAACACACCTTATACCATGCCAACTCAGAAAGTTCAAATGGCTCCATTTCCAAACACTTACATAAAATAAACCACCAAAAGCAGCAACGCCAGCAAGGAGATAGTAAATCATGTTCTCTCCAGAAGAGCCAGGAACGCTCCCAGATGACATCTGGCGAAGAGGTGCTATAAAAACCAGTATTGAAATTGATGTAAAGTGCTGCAAAAGTACGATCACGAAATAGAATGACAGAATCTGAACGTTGTATGGGAAAGGATCATTTTAAAAGATGTAACGAAATGGAGAGGTACAGCTTACTGACATTTAGTACGACTGAGTAACACAGGGCATGGTGCCTAACTGAACAAGGTACGTGGCTGAGCTCTTCCTAAGCGTAGGATTTTCTATGCACAACGCTGTCTGTCTATCAACTTCCAAGTACCAGATGCAGTCTATGTAGACTAAGGAACTACCTAACAAACATAAAAAAAAAATAAAAGGGAACGTAAAAAAGTTCCTGACTAAGGTACGTAAAAGAATTAATCTGTCCTTATTCAGTCTTGCTGCAGTCATGATCAGCAGAGATAACAAATCCTCCTCAGTTTGTAATAACAGAGCACTTTCAGAAAAAGCGTTTTCCTTTGAATTCACATTCTTTCATTCTCAAATAGACTGCTGACATTTCCATACATGCGCATAACCCATAACCTCAAGCACTGGCCAACAGGGCAGACAGGCAGGATTACACAATTTTATCCCTGATCGAGTACATATTCACTATAATAGCACTGTTAGCCATTTATTTTTGTTCACCGTTTCTGTAGTTTTGATGCTTGCTACAGCCTTAGATTCTTCGATCCATCTCAAAAAGAGACCCATGAAAAAGACACATAAATCTCTTTGTCAACAAAGCTTTCAGCTGAATTTCATTACTCCATCCCAGGTGAGTTACACAAACGAGAAACGCCTCATTGAAAGGGTGCTCATTAAACATAAAATGGCTCTGAGCATTGCAATCGGCAGCTGCAAAAATAGTCTCAATCTCAAAATATTGCCATCGTGTGCCAGATTATGTTTAGCATCGTCTGTCTCATGACACACTTTTCAGACTCCTCTTCAACCACCAGGCATCCTAATGGATCTTCTTACATTTAGACATACCTTCTGTAGTAGTTTCTCATGAGTACCTTCTTCTTAAAGGCTGCACATTATAGATAGGGGAGTGCTCTCTGAGCCTGCAATCATCCAACACGGCCGCAAGATTTTTTTTTTTTTTGCTACTGGTTACACAATTGCTGCTGCACCAAAAGCCATGGCTGCAACACGCCAGGCTGATTCACGCTCCCTCCCGGTGCAGGCAGACCACTGCGGAAAACACCGCTCCGACTATCCAACTAAGGGGGGG